GTATCATATCTGATACATGAATCTAAGGCCTCTGAATTATTATCACGATCAAAACTTTGCTGAAAAACCTGTTGCACACATACACACAATCTTCTTAATGCCTTCTGTTCTCAGATTGATCAAGTAAAAGTACTTTTAATATATTTCTAAAAATGCCTGTCTTTAGGTTGTGCACATGTATTTTGGCTATGGAATCTTTAGAGTTTTTTTTATAAAGTAATCTTAAGAATAACATTTACTAGACTGAAACAACTTAGGGTTACTTGATTATCCATACATAATTTTTTCGAAAAATCTTGATATAATGTGAACAGAGGTTTTGATGTAAAAATCATCTTAAGATATTTTTGGGAGATCCAGGGTGAGAACTGTTATTTATATGTATTTTATGTAAGTAATCTGTTCTCTCATTGATTTAAGTAGCCTGTTGTCTTTACCAAATTACATATTTTTTTTCTCACTATGGACCTCTGAATAAAAAGTGTTTTTTCTTCTTTGAATTTGAGCTCCACATTCTCACTATATCATACTATACGAGCCATAAAAGCCTGATGTATGTACACTTTTTTAATATTTGAACCAAATATGTTATCTAAAGTTTCAATAAACTGTTCTAACTACTCTAAAAAGCTATCATTTCACGTTGGGCTTTACAGGGTTAACATCTTTAATGCAAACAGTTTGTGCCGAAGTTTAATAATTCGGGTTAAGAGTTCATTTAAACACTAATGCTGATGCTTGCCTTGGCAAGCAACACTAAAAAAAAAGTGGCAAAAAATAAAATTAACATTATTGCTGTTTAATTTACTGTGCCAGATTTGAGGCAGAGGTCAACAGAAGTCGTCGAGAGATAATTGGATGCATCTCTTCTCAGTGTCTGTGTTTGGGTTTTAAATCGCTAGATAATGCTTAGCAGCTATCCAGCGGCATGCGGATACACATCAATTGTGTTTCTGTGTAAAATGGGATTTATGGAGCAAAGTCGATTCGTCTAATGAGAAAGTGCTGCCAGAGAGGTGGAGCCAGCCCAGGTCGTCTGACCTCTGTGCCAGCTAATTTCCAACTAACTTAGACTGATGAATACAAATGATTTCGCTTTCCCATCCTCTAAATTGTTGTTGTGTAGACACTGCACTGACAGAAAAGAAATACTGCTAGATCATGGAGAAATGCCAGTAGGGTTCGGCTCAAGAATTTAGGATTCATTTCTACTCGGAGCATATTCTGACCTTGTTTGAACACTGAAATGAAATGGAATGAAATGAAGAGCTATTTCTATTTAAGAGACTGGTACGCCCTTGGCAAGGCAACAGACATGTCAAAGGAACCCAGGGCATTTAAGGCAAAAGCTAGGCAACTAACCTCCAAACAAAGTAATTAAGACCAGACAATGTCAGAAGGGGTGGACAATGAATTAAACCGCTAATAAAGAGAAGAAAGAACAAAGTTAAAGTCTTTAATGAAAACCAATCAGTCTCCTTCAGGCCTCTTTTAAATCACAGACTTTAATGGTGTCCATTTATTGTGTCTTCACAGGGGGAAATATATTACTCATTTATCACTAAACCTCATTAGCCAATTAGCTTCCTCCAAGAAAGTAAAGCACAACACAAACACGTTTAGTTAATGAATCAAAATGGGACAGAAACCATGTGCGGAAAACAAAAAAGGCCAGCATACACTTGACTTCACAAGATCTAGCGTATAATGTGCGATTGCATAATGATATTTAACTTAAATGCAGTGGTGTGTCCATCTGGAATTCTCTGGCTTTGCACCATTTTCTCAGAAATCTCAAAATGAAAATTGATTGCAGTGTACACTGTTTCCTGCGCCTAACTTTGTCTTACACAGCTCTCAAACTTGAATGTGCATCCAGTGTTTTCAAGGGCAAATGGAGAAGGTTTACAAGCAAGAGCTAATGCTAATTTTGCGCAAAATAATATCTGTAAGGCAAAAGAGACACTTTTTGAAATGGAAGGTTGTTGAAAACAAGTAGAAGCACCCTGTAAGGCATGGAAAGGAATTACACTTAATTAAAAATTAAGGCTTTTCGTTATTGTTGACTGAGATGAGTACAGGGGCTCAGTACTTCTTTTCTCATATCCACAAAATTCATTTATAAAACAAAACAAATTAATAATACTACTAATAAAAAGACAAATAAATAATAAATAAATAAAATATCTGTAATTATTTAATTCTTTCATATATATATATATATATATATATATATATATATTAGTGCTGT